TCGATTTTTTAGGTATGAAGTAAGCCAATCGATTAGAGGTGGTTTGATACCTAGTCGTTTGAGCTTGTTGATAAGACACAAGTGGTTAACCTTATCAAAAGCTTTTGAGAAATCAAGGTAAATGATATCAACCTTTCCCTTGCGATCGAGGATGCTTGTCCATCTGTCCACCGCAGTCAGCAGGTTGGTTATACAAGAGTAACCCTTCCTGAAACCATGCTGTTGGGGTGAGAAGAAATTTAAGGACAGTAGATAGTCATTTAAACCGTCGCATATCAGGGACTCCATGAGTTTTGAAGGTAATGACAGAAGAGCCACCGGCCGATAACTTGAAGGTTCATTGCGTCGACCACCTTTGAAAATTGGTGTGATGTGAGCCAACTTCCAATTTTCCGGTAATTTGCCTCGGCTAAGCGAGTGTGAAAACATCACGCTAAGCGGCGTTGCCAGGATTGAGGCTGCCTCCCTCAGTATGGCAGGATGAACCATATCCGGGCCAGGAGAAGTGTCTAATCTTAAGTGCTGCAATTTCCGGAACACCAAGTCAGCGCTTAGGTCCACTTCAGAAAGTCCTGTGGAATTGCAGATGAAACTGTCGTCAGTAAAGTTGATGTCAGCCGGTTGAAATGTTTGAGAGTAATGTGCCGCCAGAAGGTTAGCGGCGTCGCCATCGTTGTTGGTCGGGCCGTTAAGACCTACCAGTTGAGAAACTCCTGTTTTGGCTTGACGAAGAGAGGCTGCATAACGGAATAGGCTTCTAGGGTTAGAGGCGAATTTGTCCATAAGCTTTGTTTGGTACTGAAGCCTGTCTTCTCTTATAGCCTTCGTGCATATGTTCCTGATATGTTTATATTGCCTATACGCTCCGTCGTTATCAGTTCGTTTGTATTCCGCCCAACAGTGCCTTTTGCGGCTTAGCAGGCGAAGGGTACGGTTCTTGATTACTGTAGGTGGCTTGCAGCTTTTGGGAACCGTTTGAGGAACTGAATGGTTTGTAGCACATAAGAGCGTGTGCAGTAAGAAGTCCCAATGACCATCCACATCGAGTTGAGGGTGAACATCCCAAACCACCTGTTGTAGATAGTCATGTAGAGCTGGCACATTCAGCCGTTTAAAATTCCAACGCAAATTATTGTTGGGATACCTTAGCTTAGTTTTGATGACAAAACTGAAGGCTATGACGGCATGATCGCTCTTTCCCAGAGGAGCCAGGATTGAGAGGTTGTCGACTAGGAATTCTTCGTTAGTGAATACACAGTCTAAGCGCGATGGTGTCTGACTGTTTCTCCAACGAGTTGCCGACCTCACATTTTCATATAAGCCCAAGTCATCGATGAGGTTGAAGAACCGAGCTTCAATTGAGTTGTCGCCTCCAGTGTACGTGTGTTCCGCGAAGTTGACTCTAGGGAGATTAAAGTCCCCTAGAATCAGGATGTGTGTGAAACCGAGACGGATAGAGCGGGATAGTCCTTCCAGCATACGACTATCGTACTCGATGTCGGCAGTTGGCTTCCTGTAAATGACTCCGACTAGACACCTCGAAGTACTAGACAATCTTACAGAGCACCATATGGATTCCTCAAGATTGTTAAACTCGAGGTTGTGAACTTGGTGCACCTCCAAGCAAGAGCTTATGTATATGGCTACTCCGCCCCCAATTCCTGTTTTTCTGTCGTTGCGGAACAAAGTCATCCCAGGTAATGCTAACTCTTGGTCCGAGAACTGAGAAGATATCCAGGTTTCAGATATTCCTATCAGATGGGCCTTATTAGCGTTGCTAAGTTCACGTAGTTCATCCAGTTTGTTTGGTAGACTCGCGGCGTTCATATATAAGCAGTTTATGCTTTCAATTTGGAACGCGTGAGCTTCGTCCTGTTTTTCTGTATGAGCCTTATGTGAATGGACAGGTAGCCCACCTATATGAGGTTTGCCGAGGTGGTAGGCCCTGTCCTTTACACGTTTTTTTATCGTTTAGACAGTCCACAAGTGGAATGGTCAGCTCCAACTTGCCTTTGTGTTTGGTCCTAGCTTCGTATGGCCTATCCGGGTGCATGTGGATTCCAGGTGGCAATCGACGTCTGTTGGCACGAAATGCTTCCAGAACTGCAGCCGCCATGTGGGAAGATGGGAAGGTTATCTTCATTAGACGAGGTCTAGGATCACCGTCCTTCTTGGCTAGTCTCGTCACATGCTGAGTCAGTATGTGTTTGAGCCTCAAGGACTGTTTGATGAATTTCCATTCCCTGATGTCAGAATTTGATTGAGTAGGGTCTGCATTTTCCGGTATACCTTGCACAATTATGTTTCTTCCGCGGAAAAACTTCTCGCGAGATTCTTTAGGGATGTTCCGTATGATATTGCGCTCAGAGTACGGTATGTCGGGCAATATTTTTACGTTACCATCTGATTTCAGCAAGTGACTTGCTAGCAAGACGTCCTCTACGTCGGTAGCATTCTTAAGTGTTACTCGGAGAAGCCTCGGGTGATTTAGATGCTTAGAATCCTTTCCTCGAGTGAGCCGGGTGACCGTCAAAGGCTCTATTCTAGGAAGTTCGAGCTTCTTGTTCAATTCACCCCAGAGCATCCTGTCGTTTTTGTCCTGCAGACTGAGAGGAAGGTCAGGATTGTCAACGAGGTTCATGATAATGAGAGAATCGTCACGAACTGTTGTTAATTTACCAGGTTTCACGATGGGTTCAGGTTTAATAACTTGTTGTTTGGAGGTCAGTGTGCGTTTTTGAGTCTTGGGCTCTTTATTGACCGGACGAACAGTCTTGGGGGTAGACTGTGCGACCAAATCACCAGTTATTTTCCGTACAGCAACACTTGGGTTGCTCGGCTTAGGCGGTGATGCCTGGTTCTTTTGGGCTCTCTTAACGTGGGTCGAATCACCTACAGGGTTTTTGGGAACCACTGTTGTGTTCAGGGACCCTGAGCTGGGAGACCCGAGTTTGCTTAGGGAGTCTAGTACCGTCGACGTAATGATGGTGCTGAGCCTCGACACGTCATCATTAGTGTTGATGGATGCTCCATCGGTGGTATACCTATCGACATCCCTATTTTTGTATCCGTCGCACGCTCTTGTTTGTCTACCGGTTTTTTTACTATCGTTATCCAAGTTAACTGACAACTTGTTCCGAAGACCTGTCAGTAGGACAATGATGTTACTCAGCAAGACTACAGCGTCCGTGCTGCACGTGACACACACCCACTTTTGCTCTGACTTGCTGAGCAAGACCAAACCTTGTAAAAAGTGAGTTGTGTTCAGGAAGTTTGGGGGTGGAATAGATTTCGTTAGAAAACTAGGTACAAGTTACTCTGAAAAAGATGTGGGATACTATGATTCCCCGAATTGATGTCGACTATGAATTTCACACAATCTAGAGGAAAATGTTACTCTAACAATTGGTCTTTTGCCATTATATGACAGAAAATATTTCTGTTCCATAGAATTTGACTACATGTCTATTAGTTCATTATTTGGACAAATTCTCTTCGATAAGTTTTAAAAGTCAGAGATGACTGGCTATAACCCTGCATAGTGTACTTAACAGGAAGAGGTGGTAGTTAAAACGGTTTGGTAAAGTAATTATAGATTGCCATTGTTATTCTGGGTGGTACTGAGATTTCAATTCCTCCATCTGCTTTATGGCAAGCAGCAAATGAAAGTACAACACCAAGGTCGATCTTCGGCACTTGTTTGACGTCCATAGTTGATAGTTCATATGATATGAGGGAATTTTTTCGACCAATGCGTTTTCTGTACAACTTGTGCATAGTTAAATTTATGTATCGTCTGAGCTGTATGTTCACTCTCCTATCCTACCTCAGACGTTATACTGGTCCAATATTTTGATAAAGTTCTGCTTTTGGTGTAATAGTGTTGTAGTTTCTACTCGAGAATCAACTCATAGAGAACATGAGTAACAGAAATTGGGGTAGCTTTCAGGTTAATCTCCACTTCTAACTAATTCATTTGATATGAAGCAGTTAATCAGACTGCGGTTCAAAAATATACGCTCGTAAAAAATTTAAACCAAATAAATATACATAGTTACTTAGTTGACTTACTCTTGTTACCTCCCATCGGCATTCTCCATCGAACTCTGTCTTGAGCAGTCCTTTTCAGTTGTTATTCGTCTTTTTAATATCTGCTTCTATTTCTCGGTGCAGTGTGTTCTTTGACCTTCCTCTTCCCGTTTCTCCTCAGAATTCCAATTTAGCGATTGTTTCATGATGCAGGTTGAGGATTTCCGCGATGTATGTTCTGTCCACTTCCACCGCCTTTTCTTAATTTCCTCTTCAGCTGGAGGTTGGTGTGTTCTCTCACATAGTAGGCTGTTGCTGATGGTATCTGACCAACGGACATTCAATATATTGCGTAGAAGACATAATTAGTATATCATTCACACATTTCTGACGTGGAAAGTCTGGACCCTACTCCAATTTTAAGTCACATTCGGAAACAGACTTTGAAACTACCCACTTTTTTACTGAGACATTACCTGCTGAATATTGAGAAGGCTTCAGGGCCAGTGTCTCCGCTAGCTTCTGTTGCTAAGCTTCATCCTTTATTGGGTTGCGGCGATAAGTCTACTCGAACTTTGCAACATGAGGATGGACGGTACACTTTGAGTGAATCATGACATCTAAATCGTACATGTCCGTATCAAATGCGGTAGTTGTTACTGTTTCTTTTTTACATACATGTAATACATAGTGTTGAATAAAAACCCACTTTGTTGAGTCTTTTACGCATATGTTACCTAGCCTTATTTCGGGTTCATTAGTGTTCCATGAAATATGCGTAGGAACAAAAATTGATTATGATTTACAGTTGTTATCCAGCTATCGGCCAGTGATGAAGGCAGTGCTACTCATAGAAATCATATAATAAAGGAAACTGTTTTCGTGTTTGTTTAGTCTAACTTTCATTAAACCAAGTTATTTTTTATTTTAGCATTTTGGTCTCATCAGTCCGTTTCTCCGGATCAGTCATCATGGTATGATCCTATTGAGTAAATCGAATTCATTATGATTTAGGATCATTTTATCATTGGCAAAGAATTATCTGCACATTCTGATGTTTCTTACGAAACTAAATTAAAAAGGTGTAAACGTAAATGTTTGTTCGAACCCATTTCAGAAAATGAAATTGATAAAGCTCATGCGGAATTACTGTCAGGTCTATCTCAAGAGTTCGCCCGTGCTTCAGCACGCTTATCCAAAGGCGTAATCGAAAACGGTCGAGTTCGTCTTACACAAATATGTGGGAAGTATTTCCGTATAATGGGTTTCTCTCTTGATGGCTCATCTTATCTTCATCCAGAAGAAGCATTATACCTTGCTGAATGTAATAAAATTCAAGTACTTGTTAGTGGTTTACCACTGAGTATTCAAGAACTTTACGATCAGCTTTTAAACAATGAAACATATCCATACTATCTGGCCTACTCTCGATTATCACGATTAAATTTCAGTCTTCGAAAACGAGCAAATTTTGACCTACAATCACATTACCACTGTGTGACAGATAAATTATTTAAAATTCCAAAATCAATTAACGTTTCAATTACAACCTGTCCACTTTTACACCCAGAATATAGAAAACCTATCGGAAAGAGAAAGTTCATAGACTTTCAACCACTTATTAATCATAATACAATACATTCTATCACGATCTTATGCATAATTTACAAGAGATTGTACAACCTGCCAGTGATAAATCTGTTAAGTCAACGAAGGATTTAAATCTACTCTATGATATTTATGGAAACAATCATACAGAGAAAAGACGTATTATTAACTTCTCTAAACGCTTCCCTCCTCATCCTGATTATGTTTTATCTGTTTTGTCACCAAAACAAATATACCCAGACATAGAATCTAAAAGTTTGATAAAAGTTGGTCTACAGCCAGATACATCTGTTCTTATATGCATGGTAGATGGATGTGATGTTTCATTCTATATAACAAACTGTTTTGCAATTCCAAATATTAATTTTCAAGTAACTCGTCAAGAAAATACGGCATGGATTTAGACTAAAAGGATTATTTGTGTACACTTGCTTTTTTCATACAATAAACTCAAGTCAATCACTTCAAAATCTTGTCGTTATTGGTTTTACCAGTTTTACGTCCATTTTATCCAGTGAATAAGCGATGGGTTCACCTTTAGATCCTATTCTTATTCAACTTTTTTCTCGTGAAACTAAAAATCGAACCTCTCAAGGAAGTGATTGATAAGCTTAACTTTTGTTGCCGTCGGATTGATAACAGTTTCATCATCGTTGATCAGAACATCAGAAAAAATCTCTTAGAGCGATTTAAAAAAATACACTCAGAAATCAGGCATGTGTGGGGGAATTGGATAACAAGTTGCATTTCTTTTATGTTGTGTTAAACAGAAAAGAAAATGTTTCTATCAGTAGAAATTTATATAGGAAAAGTTCTTCAATAAGCAAGTACACACACTTTCTGAAATTTGTACTCATTCGTCACAAGATAAACCCAGTTAGATGTTTTGCAAGTAGAACTAGGGAGATATGCTCAGACAACACCATGAACAAAGAACTAGAGCACATTCATAATATGTCGAGTGAAATGCGTTATGCACAAGGTTTTCTTAAACTCATATATAATGAACCAGGAAATAACAACATAGATGGTTAGTAAGAAACCTCTCTTCCTGAAGCTACAATTCAATGGAGATATAGCTAGCGATGTACTACGAGATAACTTGACTAAAGCAATAAAAATGTTTAATTCAGATAACCTCTATATATCGTTTTCTAGCCGACCTAGGGTGGTTCCTCAACTAAAGAATAAGTTGCCTGGTTCTGTCACATCAGTGTATATCTACGAATCCAGCTGCTCCTGTGGAAAAGGCTATATCAGACGTATAACCAAACAGCTGGGTGAACGACCTGATGAACAACTCCCTTCATGTTTAGGAAAGAATATGCTCAAAACGCAGGTCTAATCTGTCCCACTTTCTCGATAGCGGTCATTTTGTGAATAGAAACAAATCATTCCAAGTAATTTGTCGCACACCAATCGGCTTTCTTTATGGTGTTCGATCTCCTCTCTTACACAGCAGAAGCCATAGTGATTGAGCTAACAATCCAAACCTCTGTGTTCATAAGAAATTCGTAACACCCTTATCTCTTCCTTGGTCGAATAAGCCTTTACAAACGACTTTACTTATATCATTAAAACCAAGAACCGATCAATGTTAGGCTACTATTGGAAATTTGGAAGCACTGAACAACTGTTTCGTCCTAATGTGAGATTCCTTGGCATTGCGTGTCCACCTTCAATGCTTCCATGTTTTCAATGGTGATGTAAAATAGATTGGTTCAGGGTTTTAATGAAATTCAATCACCTCCGCAACCTATCCTGAACATTTTATTTATTATTAACTGCAATAATTTTAAGTTGCTTATTTTTCACTCCGTGTCTTCAAATATGCGTTTCACTATCCAATCATCCGAACACTGCGTAACTTCATGATTTTTAATGAATGTTATTTCAGTATTTCTCTTTCAAGTCGGACTAATTTCTATCATGAAACATTGATTCAAGCCCGTTTTATTCTTATCTTAACTAGTACACCTGTCATCAAACTATCAATTTTTACTTTCCACTTTTCTAAGAACTTATAAGTACAAAACCAAATACTCGCACAAGGACTTCATCAGCAGCATATTTACAATTGACGAATATATGTACCTCAAAACAATTGTCAACCAATACCAAAGTCAGAATTTTTAATACAAATGTCGAGACAGTTCTACTGTATGGGGCAGAAACCTGGAGATCTACGAAAACCATCATCCAGAAGATACAAGTGTTTATTAACAGTTGTCTACGCAAAATACTTCTGATCCGTTGGCCAGACACTATCAGCAACTATCTTCTATGGGAGAAAACAAACCAGATCCCAGCGGAGGAAGAAGCGCTGGAAGTGGATAGGACACACATTGAGGAAAGCACCCAACTGCGTCACAAGGCCAGCCCTCACATAGAATCCTCAAGGCAAAGAAAAAGAGGGATACCAAAGAACACATTACGTCGAGAAATGGAGACATACATGAGAAAAATGAACAAAAATTGGATAGAACTAGAAAGGAAGGCCCAAAACAGAGTGGGTTGGAAAATACTGGTCGGCGGCCTATGCTCCACTGGGAGTAAAGACTGGATAAACATCCCAATGGCCACCACTCAGTGACAGGCCAGTGTAGATCCAATAGTAACAGGCTCACCTCTTTGCACTTATCTACAAGTGTACGAAACTTGTATACGTTTATCCGAAGCTTGACGAGATTATTCAACTTCCGAAGCGAACTGGTTTAGAATCCACTAAGTGAACTTTAACATGCCTAGATCACTTGAATGCGTTTTCATATAAGAACATATACTAAAATAGGAAAGCTGTTATTTATTGAACAGTCTGTATTTGAAAAAGGATAAAATATCATTTAATTCAAAAAAATATAGAAATAAATATTGCATCACCAAGAAAATATTGCGGTAAATTAAGCTGATAATAAGTTAGAAATAAGTAGTAGAAAACCATATTTCATTGGTGTTTTTCATATAAAGAATGTTATTAAAAAATGAAATATTGCTTATTTGGTCAGTTGCATTTATCAAATCAAAATGACATGAAGTAAAACACGGCAAGATTAATGAATTCTTCATATAAATCCTGTTGTGAGGTTTTCATATATTAGAAGGTGATTGTTGGCGTTGATGTTCACGCATCGATTCACGTTCAAGTATCTAACATGATGGCAAAGCAAAACATATAATTTGATACTAAATTCATTCTAATATGATGTTATGTTCTTGAACTGGGCTTAATTTCCAAAACCGCGCTAATGATATAATTTATCTATTCAGACTGAAGTAAGATAAAATTCTCAACTAGGTATTTGGGAAATGTTCGTTAGATTCGACTGACTCACATTCAATTAAACATAGTTCTTTTGTAATCAATTTACCTCCTGAACTAGCTTTACCGTTAATACTTGAAGAACATATGTCAAGAATCTCAGACATTCCGATGCAGCCTAGCAATTGGATATTGTGCGTTATTTTACATCAGATTGAGGAGCGATAAGCTGAAGGATAATTTTTGTTAATTCTCATTATTTTAAACATTATATTGTGTTAATAACCAATTTTACAATGGATCAGTAAACATCTATTCAAATAGATTCATTAAAACTAATTAAGAACTATTATTATTTCTAAAAGCTAAATCCTAACTTAAAAATGCTTATAGAATTCGATAAGTCTCATTTTGATTTGTTTTTGGTAAATTGTAAGATTGAAGTAGAAATATCCATTGAATTCTGAGTACTTAATCGATGCTATGTAGGAATTTAGTTTGATTTGAACATGACTTTCCATATTGGATAAGTTTAAATTGATAGGGTAAAAATTATTTATAAAATACAAGATACCCAATATGGTCAGCAGAAAATGCATCACTAAATATTGTATTGGATTCAGTAGTCAAGACTTGAGGAAATTCAATTATTTTGAATGAGTACGCATCACTTTCTGTCCGTGTGTAGATTTGCATAATTTCGAAAAAAGATTCTCAGTCAGTCAGTCAGCTACAACGTAGGACCAGGCACATATGTGCATCGGTCCAGGTTGCCATACCGCATCAGCACAACAAGATGAACACCGGATTCATAGCAGTGGTTATGTCAAAGGTGGTTATATATAAGAGAAAGATTGCATATAGAGATATAGTACAAGAAGAAAGAATTGGTTCGTAGAAAGAAAGATATGAAGTGATTTTAATCTCTTAGTTTAAGGGAAGACAGGGAGTGTATACACCGACGCCATTGTGATCGATTCTGAGCCATGTCACCAAGAGTCTCCAACCATTGGTTACGATAGTCACGCGGACCCCAACCAAGTAGTCTGCATCTACCAACATGGCTCAGACTACAAGTTAGTGACTTCAAGCACTGATGCCACGTTTTGGTTTGGCCGCCCCTAACTTTCTTCCAACCATCTCCAATACCGGATAGCATTGCACGTCGTGGTAATCGGTGTTCAGGCATACGTAACACGTGGCCCAACCATCTCAGTCGATGAAGATTCATAACCTCATCAACTGATTTACCATCATTCCCTAATACCCTGCGTCTAACCTCACTATTACTTACCCGGTGATCCCAGCAGACGCCAGCAATATTTCTAAGGCATCTGTGGTCAAATACTAGTAGCTTACGAGTGTCTTCTACTCTTAATGGCCATGTTTCGCTGCCGTAAATTAAAACAGAACGGACTGCCGCGCAGTATACTCGTCCTTTTATTGATAGACGGATATCTCGCCTTCGCCAAGGTGACGTAAGTTGGCAAAAGCCAAACGAGCTTTTCGAATCCGTGCTGAGATTTCGTCCGATACCAACCCATTAGGGCTGATCAGACTTCCAAGATAAGTGAAGTTGTCAACGCGTTCGACTACTTCACTCCCTATCCTTAGTTCAGGTGTTAACGCAGACCAGTCCTGAAGCAACAACTTGCATTTAGAGGGAGAGAAGCGCATTCCAAACATTCTGGCATTGTTGCTCAGTGCTACCAGAAGACTCTGCATTTTGTCAGCGTCTTCACCAAACAGGACTATGTCATCTGCGTATTCTAAGTCGATAAGTGGACCTCCTGGATGGAGATCAATACCCGAGAACTCAGTCGACGAGAAAGTTATTTCCATCAGTAGATCTATGATGAAGTTAAACAAAAATGGAGAAAGTGGACAGCCTTGACGGACACCACTTGAGGTTGCAAAAGTAGATGACAGTTCGCCATAAGCTCTGACTCGACTAGTAGTGTTCGAGTAAAGAGCCTTTACAAGGTTTATGTACTTCTGGGTACGCCTTTCAATGACAGACACTGCCACAGAATCTCGCGGTCTACAGAGTCAAATGCTGCTTTTAAGTCGAGAAAGACCACCATTGTCGGACGCCGATAAGTATGCCTGTGTTCTAGAACCTGACGAATGGTGAATATGTGGTCG